GGAGGGATTTGAAGTTTACTGTAAAGAAAGTCTGTCTTTAGCCCTGCAGTGCAGCCGGGAGACAACACAGGGCTCTGGATGAGTCGCACAGCGTCAGCCATCGGACCACCGTCCAGTCAGTAGATGGACGCACACATTCCTGGTGGATTACTTTGAACAATCGTCAGCAATCACATGATTTTCCAGAGTAATTAAATCCTGTCTCATAGTGTTATAAAAGACTGTTTTTCTGTGTGATGGGCTGTGTGTGATCTTTTATTGAAGCGTGTGGATCATGTGTGTTATCTCAGTGGAAGTCATCACAGGCTTGTTTTGGTAGAAACACTTGATTATTTTCTAATTATTACAATTTCAGTTCATTCATTTTCATATTGTATAATTCTATTGATATTATAGAAAGAAGAAGGACCACGATGGAGCAACATTTGGTTATAAACCTATTGGGTATTTTGGGTTGTGGGAAAGCTCTACATTTTTAATGTGGCGTTGCTTCAAGCTTATGAACGTTACTGAGAAGACCTGATGGATACCAACAGAGTCACTTTTTATAGTTGCAGTTGATGAGCATATTCACCTTTATTTGTAAGGGACAGTAGACATGGACAGGAAATGTGGGGAATCCAGATTCAGATTCAGATTCATATTTGTTTTATTGTCATTGTAGCACAACAGGAAGTAAGGTGCAGGCCTTTCAGTGCAAGAACCAAAATATGAAAACTCTGTAAAACAGCTGTATACAATATAAAAGAAATATACATATATAAAACAAAGAAAGAAAGAAGTAAAATTAAACGAGTACAGTGTGTATTGCACAGAGGTAGTTGTATATTTCCAATATATTGCATTTATTATGATAAAAAGGCATTTCTGGCTCTGAGCAGTTGGAAAGAAACTGTTCTTCAGTCTATTAGTCCTGGTTCTGATGGTCCTGTACCATCTGTAGCTCAAACAGGAAATGTCCCGGCTGGTAGGAGTCCTTCAGGATGGTGTCGGCTCTCCTGAGGCAGAAGGAGCCATGAAGGTCCTCCAATGTGGGTAGAGGCCACCCAGTGACCTTCTCAGCCATTTGCCATGACACACAGTGAGGGTCTGGCTGGCAGGAAGTCACACCAAGAACCCCGCTGATGAGGGCTTTTAACCATCCAGCGTTCAGGTCACCCTACAAAGTCCTGTTTGGTGTCGCATTGATCCACGATTGAATATTGGGTGACATTTCCTTTAATGTCGGTGCAGGTTATTTCTATGAGAAAGCTGCAGTTCTGTGCTGTATGGATGAATATGGCCGTGTGCTCTGTGTGCAGACTCAGGCTTTGATTAGCTGGCTGTGAAACTGATACATGCCGTGTTATTGGTTTACCTGTGCATAGAGCTTGCATCCTGGAAAGGTGATCTTTGTCAATCTACACACAGGTTAATGTTCAAGCCGCTTGAGCATTGCAATTTCTTCCTGTTGGTGACAGGATGGTGAATAAAAGTGTGTTTCTGTGTTACACTGGCACACTTCTAGTGTCTTTGGATTGTTAATCATTTTAATTTTCTACATAGAACAATGCATATTATTGGATGTATTTTAGAGATATAACCAAAGTGGATTAAATCACAAGTGGATTATTCCCACATCACACTCGTTGTCTCACTTATGATATTCATAGCACGGTGCCTGTTAGATACGGAACAGTAATGGATCATCCATTTGTGAACAAGTAACACAACAGCGAGTCCATCTGCCTGCCATCCACTGCTCCTGACAGTCAGCCTCAGAGCCACACAGCATCATGCTTCGTTAGAGTGGATTTACCAGAAGAAGACATTGGAGACCTCAGAAACTGTCGTCGTAAGTCAGACTCCAGTTTTTTTTTTCCTGATATTGATGATTGATCTGAATTCTTTATCTCTGCGTCACGCTCTCTCCTGGATGTTCTGCATGTCAGGAGGAGCATCCCTCATCTGACAGCAGCCCGGTGCCAGGACGCAGGCAGGAAATATTAAACTGTTAAAGGTGCTAACTCTCTTTTCTGCTGGCACTCCTATCGGTGTAAGATAACCCCAGGCAATCACTTATCGGTGGTGCTGACAGATAGTGGCTGTGTCAGAGGCAGTAAGGGGAGATGAGCTGTCACCCAGCTCACTGTTTCTGTGCCTAAAGAGGACAGGGAGCCCACGGACATGTCAGCACCCTGCGACCCCCGGCCCCCCGGCATCAGAAAGGCCTGTAAGAAGAGATCGCTTATACTTTATGTTGTTCACTATCATCAGTTTTTTTTTAGGCTTTAACAATTAGCCTAGTGAACATAACTCCTCAACAAGAGCCGAGTTGAATTGCTGTCACTACCAGGACAGCTCAGATGTGTTCAGGTGAGGGAGACGGGGCAGCATCGCTCTGCCAGTTTATCAGTCTGTTAAGTAGAAAGACTAAGAAGTAGTCTGTCTACTGGGCTCTTCATCTCAATAGTGTTTATGGTGTTGGCTGTAGATGACATGAAAGGAGGAGATATCTTACTATATTTAGGTGAATGCGTAATCAATAATGCATCCAGCCCTTCCAGGACTAGCTCCTTGATTAGCTCGCACTCATGACCTACCAAGGCTCTGCTGCACGCTACCAACTATCTGTGAGGGACAAAACAAATCTGCATTTGGACCTCAAGTCTGAAAACAACTTCTAGGATATTACGAACAGTTAGGGAGTTTCAGTTCCTGTGGTGTCTGTGCCACCTTAAAATGTGTGTCTGCATCTCTGTGTGTTGACTTAATGTTGCTGGTTTTCTATGAAGCGTTTGGCTGACGTGGTAGAAACAAGGCTGCTGCTTTACAGGACTCCTGAACGGGCCGTCAGAAAAACATCTGTCACTATGAATATGCTGACTCGCTGCCTCGTGCTCAGTAACTCTGTTCTGTTCACTGTTGTTGTCCAAATATGATTGTTGAGGAAGTTATTTTTGGTGAGTCCACTCCCCCACCTCCCCCATCACCCGATGGTGTAAGGTGGCCCTCTGTCTGAGGTCGTGGTAACCATAGCAGGCCTTGGAAAGTGAAATGCGATGCGGCGGGCCCTTTGGGCTGTGTTTCTGAATCACAACTCCATAATGAGCTGGCAAAGCTCCGGCTGCATCAAAGATGCAGCACCCCAGTATCTGTTTCAACTCACAGAGCACAATAGTGCAGTGTCACCTGTGCAGGGGGAGTGGAGGCGGTGGGCCACGAGGAGCACGAGGAGCACTGAAAGCTTTCCAGCAGCCTACCACTCCTACATCCTACATGAGCTCATTCTCAGTCTGTTTATCATGTGTCTGCTTTACTGATGTTTGTGCTTTGATAGTATTAAACTTCCCTTTAATCTAAAACACACTTATGTTTAGTTAATATCAGTGCAGTTAAAGAAAATTAACTTATGACCCGTGTCAACAAGACCATGGCATGTAAACCGTAGAGCGACCGGCGACATCATGACCCAGTGATCAATCATAAGACATTTAGTGGCCAATAAATAAGTGATGGTTGGACACACAAGAGTTACTCATGCAGATAATCTGTGATGGCTGTCACAGAAGACAGAGACAGACAGCGTGGAGTACAGCATCACATAACTAGCAATGATTTAGATCCTAAAGTAGATAAAAAATAAGTTCAGTCAGATATCAGCACAATACGATGTTCACTGTGTGTATACCTCTATTTTTTAGATATGAATAACAGTCAGCGTTAACTGACAGGAAATAAAGATAAATCTTTCTTAAGAAAACACTTCTGGCTCTGTACTGCAACCAGAACAGCTAACCAAGCTGTAAATGACTGCTTAGACAGCAGCAGGGTTCAGTGGTTAGTGCCAGAGAACCATCACCTGGCATGGTTGAACATCCAGGCTTTAGTTTCTCAGAGGTCATTTTGATATGCTGTTAGGATGACTCGGTCGGGTCAGTTTACTTTTACCTGCTAATAACCAGCCTTTGTGTTGGTGGCTATGGTGAGATAACAGAAGAGCCAGCGTCCTGGCTGAACGTCCTGGCTGAACGTGCTGCAAGACGTCCCTGAAGCCGTCTGAATGACCACGAGTACGTCTTCAGCACCTGCTGGGTGCTACATGGCATCACCATGTGGGAAGGAAAGAGAGCTGAGGCAGGTGGTAAAAAGCACATTTAAGATTAAATTACTAAAGTCACAGAATTACCAGCAATACTAAGCTGTACATTTAGTTTTGTAGTGTAATGAGAATCAACATAGCTGCCTTACATCCATGTGTTTAGCGTATTTTCACACATAAAATTGAGGTGGTTCACATTTGAAAAAAAATAAAAATCTTTAAGGGCCGTTTCAGAGCTTATATCAGTTCTTGGATAATCTAAACTTAAATGGATCTTGTAGCTATATTGCTATATGTTACTATTATATGTTTTTGGTCGTGTGAAACTTTCTAATATTAAATGACAAAGTGTGGTTTAACAGGACGAGGAGACTAAGATCTAAGCTTATGGGAATGTCATTCATTTTGCAGGTGTTTTGTTGTGATTGAAGTGATTCTGCTCCGTCCTGAGGGGAATATGAATGACTGAATGAATTATTTCCCTTTGTCACCTGTTTCTACTTGTACAGTTTGGCGAGTCTCTTTAGAAACCAGGTAGACTAACCAGCTCTGCTTTACTCTGCTGTCTTCCTCTACTCCTCCAGGAGAGTCTTGTGACCCAGTGACTCCTCCAGTGAACTCCACCCCCGGACTCAGGGACACCATGGGACCCCTCCCTGGTCACGTTTCCCCGCTCCTCTTCCTCCTCCTCTCCCTCCTCCTCCTGTGCCACCACTGCAGCTCCTTCGTGCCCCAGGTCGTGGAGAGAGCATCCGGCCCCGAGCAGCCTCAGTCCTCCGGCAACACCACGGACTCTGGACAGCGGAAGTGTTCCGGTGTGGTGGTGTGCAAACCGGGCATCCTGCTGCCGGTGTGGCTGCCACTCAACCCCGCCGTGGGAGAGCAGGCGGGGAGGGCGGTCGTCTACTTCGTGTGTCTCATGTATATGTTCCTGGGTGTGTCCATCATCGCGGACCGCTTCATGTCGTCGATAGAAGTCATTACCTCTCAGGTAATTCTGAGCCGAACAGGTTAACAAAGGCAGCCAATGGGATTTGTTGTTCTTGCTCCATATAGACCAGTGTTTTGATGCTATTGTACTGTTGTTGTAAATGACCCTGAGGAAATTCAGTGTGCAGTTGTTCCAGAAGGACTTACATACATTTAATTTACCTTATATTCAAGACTGACATTTTTAAACAAATGTCAAAGTTAACTGGCAGCTATATGTATATAAGTGTATATAGGTAATGGAATGTACTGTAAATGTAACATCAGGCTAACTAGTATAGGATCAGTCAGTGCACATTTTACATATGAATTTGCTACATGACATTATCGTGTTCTGTGAAGCTCCATACATGTCGTAAGATCTTTATAAAAGCATAAGAGGATCTGTAAACGTTTGTCAGAACACTACAGGGCCCAAGACTGCGACCAAAACTTTTTTTTGAGAGTGAGCGAGTTAAAATTTCAAGTTGGTGCGAGTGCACGATGATCATGAAGCCGTCTTAGTGTCGCTGTAACCGGCTGCTGAGTGGACCACAGTGGTGGGAAGCAGAACTTTTATAATGTCGGTGTACTGCGCTGTTTACACTTAGAAAGGTCTTCTCGTGAAAAACAGAGCGCACTTTCACAATCTCATTTGGGTGCAGGAGAAAGAGGTGACCATCACAAAACCCAACGGTGAGACCACAGTGACCACAGTACGCATCTGGAACGAAACAGTGTCCAACCTCACGCTCATGGCCCTGGGCTCCTCGGCACCCGAGATTCTGCTTTCTGTCATTGAGGTATTTTATTTGCTTTTAATACAGCCTATCTTGATAAATGTGCAGCTCACACACACATATATTACTTTCTCGTAAACATGCATGTGCTTGTAACAAAAATCTGTGTCTTGTTGTGTATGTTAAATGAATCAATGCATTTTTTACCATCAGTGAAAATGAGATTTGGGGCAGTTCTTACCTTGATGTTATTTGTAAGGCATCACAACCATCAGTTTGAGCAAAACTCCTGTTTATACACGAGTTAAGAACACAGATTGCCTCTAAATAGATAATCTATACTCTGACTCTCATACAGTTAATTTCTAGTTTTTCTAGTTAGAGAGATATTTGCTCTACTTATAAGGTACAGTCATGACTGGATAATCCGACCCTTAACAATCCTAAACCTTGCATTAAAAACAGCCTTAACATAGCGACAGCCTTGGATTGTGACTCCGACATGACATTTAATGTCACCAATCAGGATGACGGCGTATTATCTGACTGAACAATCCCACAGATTGGCTACGTTCACACTGCAGGACTTGATGCTCAATGAGGATTTCTTTGTGACTTCCTTCACGTTTCCACTTCAATGCGACTTGTATGTGATCTGCTGTGTGAACTTCATACGAGCCAAAAGTGTCCCGCATGCGCAGAAGAGGACACGACGACGTCACACGCAGCGAGCGTGCTCAGTGTTTATGGAAGTAAACATGGATGGTAACGGTGGAGCGTATCTGCCACTCCCCCGCCGCCACCGATGGAGGAAACAGAAGTGTGAGCGCTAACTAAACTAGCATCAGCAGCCAAGTACTGCCTGTGTGTTCTGGACACTTCCACCCCGTCAGAGCGCTGCCCCGGGGTGGAAGTGTCCCCCGACCGCACCGAATGTTCTGATATTCATCATTAATTGAGCCTGAACATCCAGAGAGCAGAAAGTTCTACTGGGACCAGAACTACTAGTTATTATAACAACTATGAACAATAATGAACAACTAATGAGCCTTCCAGCATCAAGCCCTCCTCGTATCTGGACCTCCGTCTTGACAATCCGACATAGAAGAAGGTTTTGCATTTAGTGTCGGTTCATCGAGTCATGACTGTATCTCATCTCTAAGTATCAATTCTCAGATTTGTTTTACTTTATTTATTACGTGGGTCTTATGCTCAGGTTTTGTTGGCTTTAAAATCAAGTTCTCTGATTATTTTTTGTGTCTCTGAACTGTTTTACTTTGACAGGTGTGTGGCCACAACTTTGATGCAGGGGAGCTCGGCCCGGGCACCATAGTGGGCAGCGCCGCCTTCAACATGTTTGTGATAATTGGCCTGTGTGTGTGGGTGATCCCCGACGGAGAGTCCCGCAAGATCAAACACCTGCGAGTGTTTTTTATCACAGCTTTCTGGAGTATATTTGCCTACATCTGGCTGTACCTCATCCTGGCCGTCATCTCGCCGGGGATTGTAGAGGTGTGTGTCTGATGACCGCATGGAGCTGAATGCAGAAGTTTGAGCACCTCTGGGCAGATTTTATGTTTTGTTATTTTTTTTAAGTCAACATAAGTAAATGCAATACAACAAAAAGAGTCTTTCTTCAAATGTAAATGCACTGTTGCTTTAATTCATGAACTTAAAAGACAAAGAAAAGTTCAGACAGCAGTGGAAGAGCAAAAATTATGAAAAAAAGCTTTAAATAAGAATTGCAGGTACAGTACACTGGGCAGAAAGCAGAACCCCAGTATGACCATACCAGCTGATTCAGGAAATGCTGAGTCTATCAAATAAATCAACACAACCTGTCGTGTTTGCTGGGGTGCTGAAACTTTCACATGCAATTTAACGACTGACTTTATTTTAATGTGTAAACCATGTGCTGGTCCTGTTGCCTGTGTGACCAGGTGTGGGAGGCTGCAGTGACGCTGCTTTATTTTCCGGTGTGTGTGGTCTTGGCTTGGATCGCTGACCGTCGCCTGCTCATCTACAAATACATGCACAAGCGCTACCGTGCTGACAAGAGACACGGCATCGTGGTGGAAATGGAAGGCGATCTTGCGCCCAAAGGCATTGACGTGATCATGGATGGGAAGCTGTCAGACGGCAATTCGTGCCCCGGAAACTCCTCCAGTGTGACGGTCTCAGTGCAGACAGGCAACGAACTGGACCAGAATAAAGATGAGGTAAGACGTGGAGAAAATGCTGTAGGGACAAAATGCAGGACTGACGACTGAATGCTGTGAATTCATGGCTTATTTCCCTTTAAAATCAGGTTTAGCATCTATTTTAGCTTGAATGATTAGAGCTTCTTGAATTAAAAAAATTAAAAATTCACATTTATTTAGTTATCTTTTATTTTAAAGAAAATACTTCCTGGTAAGGATCACTGGTTGCAAAGTTTTCATAACTTTCAAGCTACTGAACAGGTATTTTTAGGGGAATAGAAGGTTTCCTGAGGCGAAGAAAATTCATTCCCAGCAGGAGTCTGAATGGCAGAAGTTCAAACAGCAGGAGTCAGAACAGCAGGAGCTGAGCAGCAGGAGTTCACAAAGTTTTTTAGTAAAGTTTTGTCCTAACAAACATGAGTGCTTTGGTCATCCTAAACTAAAACATTTCAACATCTAGCAACACGTGCATCTCTGTGACTACAATGCGTTACTTTACAACCAGCTTCCTCTCTTGAACAGGTGGTCCGCATCCTGAAAGACCTGAAGGAGAAACACCCAGACAAAGACCTGGACCAGCTCATTGAGATGGCCAACTACTCTGCTCTGGTTCACCAGAAGAAGAGCCGCGCCTTCTACCGCGTCCAGGCAACACGCATGATGATCGGCGCTGGCAACATATTAAAGAAACACGCTGCCGAGCACTCGCGGCGTGCAGGAGGCCAGGACGCTGACAAAGCCACATGCTCACACATCTGCTTTGAAAGTGCCCAGTACCAGTGCACAGAGAACTGTGGCTCTCTGACCCTGGGCGTGATCCTTGATGGTGGCACTGGCCAGAACACGTTTTATGTGGACTACTGTACAGAAAATGGTTCTGCCAATGCTGGAGCAGACTATGAGTTCACTGAAGGAACTCTAGTATTCAAACCAGGGGAGACCCGCAAAGAGATCAAGGTGAGGAGGGGAAATAGGTAGGATGTTCGTTTCAGTTTAGATGGTGACCCTTTGTTTTCTGTTTATCCGACTGTTAAGCTAAAAGGGACACTGCAAAGCTAACCTAATGCAACGTTTGGCTGAAATGGTGAACTGTCTTGGAATTATGCATGAAGTCTTTGTGGTCTCCTGATATGTGGGTTCTGATATCAGTCGGACCCCAGAATCAGTCATTCTAATAACTGTGTTGTACTTCGTGTCTGCCTTAAAGCTGCTTTGCACGATGCGTCCATGAGGGGTGTGACTGCACAATATTCTGCACTTTCCAGGTGGGCATCCTGGATGATGACATCTTTGAGGAGGACGAGCACTTCTTTGTGCGTCTTCAGAAGCTCAGGTTAGAGGAGGGTGGAGGTGAAGGGACAGGAACTCCACCCAAGGGTAGACTAGTGGAGCCTCTGGTGGCCACCATCACCATCTTGGATGATGACCATGCTGGCATCTTCACCTTTGGGCAGCGAGTGCTGCGGGTGAGCGAGAGCACCGGCACACTGACAGTGACTGTGGTGAGGAACTCGGGCTCCAGAGGCACGGTGGCTGTACCATACCATACAGAGGACGGCAGTGCCAAGGCTGGAGTGGACTACGAGGAGACCAGAGGGGAGGTGGAGTTCACCAATGAGCAGACCAGGTGAGGCACAGTCAGGATCCAGAGACAGTGGTCTGGAAAGATAAGAAGACTGTGAGACTGAGACTTCCCTGTCTATCATTAGAATATCGATGCTTGTGTGTCTTTCACTGCTGTCTGACCTCCCGACCCTGCATTCAGCATCACACCTCATTCCCACTGTCTCCTGAAGATGTAATCTTAAAAATAGGCCAAAAGCTCTACATTGTTTTCCAAAACAGCTGGCCAGAGTGAATCTTCCTTACATAGAAGTAAATAGTGCATTGGACTTCCTTCAGACATGAGTTTGTTTTTACAGCAGCAAGACTGAACTACAGTGCAAGTGTTGTGCATGGTAACGGAGGAGCTGTGTGTGCTTTTAATTTCTTTAGTCTAACTTTAACAATAAAACAGTTAATTGTTGTCATTGGTGTCTTGGTGCTTGATGAAGAGAACCATAGAGCATCTTGTCAGACTTCTCCTGCAGCACAGAGAAGATGTCGAATGCTGATTGAATTTTAAATGAAACTCTGACTGCAGTGTTTGGTTCCCTTTTTGCGTTTTCTCATCCAGCCAAGCTCTGTGGGGCTGAATAATACACAAACTAAATATGGAGTGGTGGTTTTCTGAACTTGCACAGTTACTATGAACACACAAGACGTCTGTTGTCTGTCGTACACTAAAGCGTCCTCAGTGCGTTATAATCACGGTGCTTTTTGGGTCTTTAGGAACCTGAATCACCCTGAAAGATTGCTATGAGTTATTGGTTACCCACTCCAGGCAGAGGAGGCCCTTTTAGGCAGAATTACCCGACGACTTGACACCCAAAGATAATCCTCCCCCTGATCAGGTGTGGGAACCTCCAGTCACCCCATGTAAACTGACAGATCCTTTTCCCATTAAATTTTAACGTTGTATAAGCTGTGTTTGCACATGGACTAATTGTACACTTAGTGAAAGACTCCGTTATGTAACATGCCTCATCAATAGCTGCTTTACAGTAAAGGTACTGCAATTTGTACATCACACCTAGTTTGGAGGTTTAGGGTTTGTTAATCCTATTCTTTAATTTCTTTCTGTTTTTTTTTCTTTTTCTGCTGCAACCATCTTTGTGCAGCATCTTTCTGTGTGCTGTACTTCTGAGCTGTCAGTCAGTCATCAAACAGAGAGCCTGTACGGACACTGATTAACCAGAGCCTTGTATCATTTAGTTTAGCGCTGCCTCTTTGGCGGACTGAGAAGCAAGAGCACACTGTGTTTAGACGTGAATTATTGAAGGGTCCATTGTGATTAATTATTTACGTCACTTCAATATGTGATGTGATTTGTGATAGGGCAAATGTTTAAGATGTAATGGGGTTGTGTGCTGATGAAAAGTACCGTTCATTGTATTTAAAAGGACCGAATCCTGAGCGTGCATGTCTGTGTTGGTGTGTGTGTGCGTGCACGCTTGCATATCTCCAGTCAGACACTACAAGTGCGCATCATCAACATGGAGGAGTACGAGAAGCAGGAGAACTTCTTCATTGTGCTTGAAGACCCCAAATGGCTGAAGCGAGGAATCTCTGGTGTGTATGCGTTTTTAATTTCATAATTTCTGTGTTTGTGTTTTCTTTATTATGATAATTATGTAACGTGAGACAACACTTGGGAAAAAAAATCTATTTTTTATTAATAGAAAATACTATGCTCCAGGTAGATGCCATTAATATCCAAGATCAAGTATCAAAACAATAACAACGGACACACAGGCAGATGAATGCAGTGCACATGCGTCAGAGCCAGTAACCGAATATTACACAATGCCACTCACTGCTGTCTCCGTTTCACTGTAGCACAGGCGCTGCAGCCAATTATCAATTTAGTATCCTTTAGTAGCCTGTTCCTGTAACCTCAATGTGTCAGAAGGATGGTGTGGGAATTGGATATGTGCATGTTAGCGTAGGAGGTCGAAAGACTCTGTTACACCATTTTGTACAGTACAGTAATTTATTTCAGTGGGTCAGGATGGAAATAAAGACTAATGGTGAGGACACAGTGCGTGTGAAGCTGCTGAACAAAGTGCATGGAGTTCCTCATGTGTTAGGCCGTTAGAACCGAGTTGGAACGCTGCATTGAATCCTGATCTTTCTGTCTTCACAGCGCTGCTGCTAAACCAGGGTAAGACTGTTTTGGTGTAGGTTTGGGTCTTAAAGGTGCAGTGTGCAGCATTTTAACATCCTGCTATATGACTGTAAAACTTCTTAGGCTGTAAATGAGACAAGTTAAAGTCTTAATCTTACACCACATCACCAACGTTAGCCAGTTTCTGATAATTTAATATGAAAAAATAAAGAAGAAGAGCGAGTTCTGTGGATCTCCAGTCTCGGCTTCCTGTTGCAAAAAGGATGTTGCTCCATTCTCTGAAACTCTCTAGAGTTTTGCTCTTCTGTTGTTTACAGAAGATGTTTTCATCACTTTACTCTTTTTATTTGTCAGAAACTGAAAGCTTCACCCTGTTCTTTGACTTTTCTGCACTGTAATGTGCATCAGTATATTAGCCCTCTACTTCCTTTTGACAAAAAGAAAAAGCCCTTCATGCACTCCTTTCTGTTCATCTGACAGCATGTGATTGTGTTGGTTTTATGTCTCAATGAGCTCTCTGCTCACTTTTATGGAAAAGTCGTGATGGCAATTTCACTGCGTTGGACCTGCTAAAATGTTCATTTCACTTTCAATAAGTCTGAACTGCAGGGATCTATATCTGAGCGACAGAACGACGTCACTTTAACAGACTGATGAAGCTTCAGTGTTACAGATCCCATGTCTTAAACAGGCTCTATGTAGTGGTACTGGCTGAGGCCTGCTGTTAGCCAGCCAGCTGCTTGCAGGAAAAACTTGGTGAGGACAAGGTTAGGGTTAGCTGGACCAGCAGGCAGCACCGGGGTGTGAACTTTATGCCCTCTGAGGCCACGGGTGTATTAGGAGACCACCATCATTAAAGGGACAACTAGAAAGCTGTTTATAGGAAACCTTTCCTGTAAAAAAGGTTTTACTCTTACTTTTATGATTTATTTATTTTTCCATAGATGTTTTGTATTTGTAAAACCTCCACAGTCTCATTTTTATGATGTCATCACAATATCAAGCTGGCCCAGCAGCCGGCACTGGGAACCAGGACCGAGTCCAGCTTATGAAGCACTAATGTGTAGCAGTGGGAAACACAACAAGCAAGCAGAGGCCAGAACAGTTTTGGTTTTTTTGCTCATGTGCCGGGTAGTCCGGTATCGGGTTCTGATACCCGTGTTTTTATGAGGGGAGGGGGTCTGGATAACTGCTCAGGGAGGGGAGAACTGTCACTAGGTTTGGGGTCTACGGTGCGGGTCAGAACCACCTCTGAGGATGGATGTGTAGCTCGTATCAACAGTGATGCAGATGGGTGCTGCTGCTCTGGCCTTTCAGGACTCAGTTTGGAGTCCGGCTGAGATCTCCGGTGGATGGAGAAGGTCCATCTGCCACGGCTAAGACTAAGAGTTACAACCAAGTGTGTAGACATGTCCCCTAAGTGTTCTGCTGCTCTTATCAAATAAAGCTTTCTTACTTTGACTGACATCCAGCTGCTTTACTCTGCTGAATGCTCTCTCCTCTAATCCCATGTTGGGATTATGGAGCAGTACTTCCTCTCATGCTGCGTACCACCCCCAGACATTTCTGCCAACTACAATGCTTAGAGCTGTGGATGAGCAGGACCGAGGTTAAGTCTGTGACTGGAGTTTGACTCTGTGACAAAAAGATAATAAACTCTACAAAAAGTTCTCCTCTTTGCTGCTCCAACGCTAAACTATGAAAGCAGGATTGTCTCTAAATGCTGCACACAGCATCTTTAAACATGCCGTACTCTGGAAGTGTGTGCTCGTGTGTGATGTTTTACTTTTTTCTGCTTTAGGTTTGGGCCTTGACTGAGCTTAGGGGTGTGTGTGTGTTTTGTAAATGTCATGTTAAACCACCAGCATGAGAACTAAATGTCTGCGCTCCCTCACAGGCAACCCCACCCCGGAGGAAGAAGAGGCCAGGAGGATCTCTGAGATGGGCAAACCCATCCTAGGAGAGCACAGCAGGCTAGAGGTGGTCATTGAGGAGGCCTGTGACTTTAAGGTGTGTGAGTGACTGATCTAAGCATTACATTAGCAGTAAACCAGTGGTCTGCTCCGACAAACACATCACTGAGTAAAAGGCACAGACGTGTATGTTTTAGGCTACAGAAGAAGATATGAACCAGAGCTTTTTCAGTTTTGACCATGTGCAATTTAAAGCCTCACATTTGGAGGAGGAGGTAAATTATATTGTATAAAATCTGAACAACTTAAAGCACCGGGCGTAGTTGTATTGCTGCTTATATAATCTGTGTTGTTTAAGTGTGGAAAGATGTGTTTTAGTTCATTAACCCCTTTGTGCCTTCTTTTACACTAGACTCCCAACGGAGTGCTAGACCAGGTACAGTTCCTACCAGCATGCCATGTGTGATGGGAATGATTCGGCTTTTCTCATTTCAGTTTGCTCTTCTGATTACAAATATACAGCATGTTTGCATCCAGCTGTTTTCAACTTTCTGCATGCACCACATGCATCTTTATCTGAGATACACGGAGGCAATGTGTGTAACAGTGTGAACTGTGTGAGCAATGTTTGCATCAGTTCCTTCAACATGTGTTCACATTCTGCAGTAGAGATGCAGTGGGTTTGTGGGTAAACGGTGAATGTCTGTATTAGCTGTGTTTGGGGGCTGCCAGGTGTCTCGGGTTCTCCGGCTTCCTCCCACAGTCCAGAAACATGCTGAGGTTAATTGGTGATTGTAAATTGTCCGTAGGTGTGAATGTGAGTGTGCTTGGTTGTCTGTCTCTAAGTGTAGCCCTGTGATAGACTGGTTACCTGTCCAGGTGAACCTGCCTTCACCCTGAGTCAGCTGGGATAGGCTCCGCCCCCCATGACCCTGGTGAGGATTAAGGTGTAGAGATGATGGATGGAATCCAGTCTGTATCAACTGGCCTATGAGTCAAGTTAAAAAACATAAAGTCCTGGAAAGCGTTAAATGTGACCCGTCTGTTGTAATTATCTTCTGCCTCGCTACTGATTTGTTTCCTTTGTTTTCACAGAGCACCGTGGACAAACTCATCAAGGACACAAATCTGGCCATGGTGATCGGCACTCGCTCGTGGAAAGAGCAGTTTGTTCAAGCAGTCACAGTCAGTGCAGGTCAGTGGCTCTTAGGTTTGTTCTCTATGTGTAATACTTCAAAAGAAAGTTCTCTTACAAGTACTCTTTACTTTTAGGTAGTTAGTTATCTCTTTTATCACCTAGTTTGACGCTATGAGCCTTTCCCTGGTTGCCCCAAACCGTTATTCCCGCATCGTTTGTCTTTTGTTGCTCAGCTTTATTCACCTTTACTGTGTCTTCTTTCAACAGGTGACGGAGATGAGGAGGAGGAGGGACAGGAGCAGAGAGCGCCGAACTGTTTCGACTATTTCCTGCACATACTCTGCATTTTCTGGAAGATTCTTTTTGCTTTTATCCCGCCCAGTGGGTACTGGAACGGCTGGGCGTGCTTCATCGTGTCAATCTGTGTCATTGGTCTGTTAACAGCCGTTATTGGAGACCTCGCTTCCCATTTTGGCTGCACTGTCGGCCTGAGGGACAGCGTCACTGCGGTGGTCTTTGTAGCTCTGGGGACCTCAGTTCCTGGTTAGTGATTTCATTAATTTTTGGTTTAAACAGTTGTAATAGTTGTGCCTCCAACTAGGAGGCAAACACACTAAACCTGATGTTCTTGCTAAGTTACTGTATTACAGAAGTCTTAGCCAGGAAAATAAACACCAGAAGGAAGTCAACACTGAATAACTTCACTTTTTAACTTTGCTCTGTTTTCCAGACACCTTTGCCAGTAAAGTGGCTGCCACACAGGATCAGTACGCGGATGCATCTGTGGGAAATGTTACAGGAAGCAATGCGGTTAATGTGTTTTTGGGCATCGGGGTTGCCTGGTCGGTGGCTGCAGTGTACTGGGAAGTCAAAGGGAAGGTGTTCCGCGTGGACCCCGGCTCGCTGGCCTTCTCCGTCACACTCTTCACCATTTTCGCCTTCTTCAGTATGGGAGTGTTGATGCTACGCCGAAGGCCGTCCATAGGCGGGGAACTAGGAGGCCCACGAGTCCCCAAGGTCCTCACTTCGCTGCTTTTCTTTGGACTGTGGTTCCTCTACATCCTCTTCTCCAGCTTGGAGGCCTATTGCCATATACAAGGCTTCTAAGAGAGCTCTGCTGGGGAGAGTCAAGACTTCACACGAACAAGCACACACATCACCAGGACCCTCACCTGGACTGTCCTGTTACAATAAAACTGGGAGAATCACTGTCATCACTTGACGACTGCTGCCATCGTTTATGAAGCTACACACTGGAGACTCACACATGCAAAGCTGAACGTCACACCCACTGCAGGACTAGTAGAACTCATTGTGACACTTTTCACGTTGACGAAATGAAAAGCAGCGGCTGTTTTTGATAAAAGCAGAACCAATAATCAGAATGTACCCTCTGGATTTTGCTCGATGCTGGCTTGATACCTGACGGCTCATAACCTGGATTCCACGTTTGGTCTTGTTTCTCCTCACACTTATAAAGACTGGGTATGTTTGAACTGCCTAACCTAGAGGTTAAATAAGAAGATCTGTGACAGCTGATTTTACACAGGTGAGCGATGTAAGTGATAATAAGCTGCTGTGATGTTTGAAGATGACAATCAGTGTTATAGCAGTCTGTTGTTTTGTATCATCAAGCTTGTACCACGGCATTTATCCCAGGCTATGTTCAAACTATCATCCCTTTGTTAGGGACTGTTTTTTGTCAGTAAGCATGAAGCAAAGTGACTCTGAATGGAACCCTGCCAGCTAATCAGGAGACCACGGTACAAACACCTGAGTGCAGTTTGGTGACAGTTTGAGAGATAAGCTGCTGTTGTGAAATATCTCTCTCTGCTAAATCGTGTTTCTCTGTCGAGGTGTGTGACACAAGGCATTACGTCACACCTACTGAATTCGATTGATAAGTATTGATGATAACAAGGACACTAAATGCACGACGTGGACCCGAGTCAGACTGACGGAATCACACAGATGTTGAATTTCTAATAAGCACCTGGTGTCTGCCATTTAGTGTGACTGTTTGAAAGTGACGTTTCATTCACCCCTGAGGTCTTATCTGTTTATTTATTAATGGTGTAATTTGATGTCTTTCTAATGTAATATATTTGAACTGACATGGACAAAAAGCATATTGTAATTTATTGTAAGTTGTTATAATTACATTGGAATTTACCTGAATGTGTGTCAGTTGTGTCCATCCCCCACACTGTCTGTTTCAGTGCGAACTCCTGATCAGTGCAGCCAGGATAATAAGACATGTTATTTAAAGCATGTTACGCTCCTAAACTCTGTGTTCCACGTAAAGTAGAAGTCATATTTTAGGTTTGTGCAGCCCAAATACATATGCAAAGATTGGCTTGAAGACTGTAAAAAGGGATTTCAGAATAAGTGTGTTAACGTGGAAAAAACCAGGGAGAAAAACAAGAAACCTAAACAAACCTGTTAAATGCAATCGAAGACCTTTTTTTGTGGAGGGCGATCACAGTCAGGTGATAACACCTATCAGCAGGTAAAGCCTTTAAAGTCATTTCCTGAGATGCCCAGATGAGGGGTTTCAGGGTGAGACTGACCCGTTGATTATAGCCAGGACTGGTACTGAAGATTATGATCTCCTAAATGCAAACATGTGAATATGTATTTTTAACTATTTTAAGATTATTTTTTGTAGACAGCATTGCTTAGACAGCCTCCACACATACAAGACATTCACCCTATCGAAACGTATTTTTTAATATGTAAAATAATGAATCTCCTAATTGACAACTCGACTACAAAAGCACAAGATCAACCTGTCTTGTCCTAATGAAGGTGAAGCCTACCGTGGCCTTGAACCAGACCTGGTTCAGAAAGGCAGTAAATCTGTCAACAGAGGGCTTCAGAGATCATCATGTCTGAAGAAAAAGTGGTTTGTTTGTTTTTTAAAGTGCTGCTTAATGCTGTCTTTGTTTTTATAAATGACAGGTCTGTCCGTGGTGTGTTTGCGTTAGATCTGGTTTAATCCCGCCTCCGCTCTGATGCTGCATTCAACGCCCAGTCTGGGAAATAAAAATGAAAGTTTAACATAAATCCCAGCTGTGGTTTGGTCACAATCAGGATTATAATTAAAATGAAATGATGTCAGTTAAAAAAGAAAAAAGTCACGCTGTGGTTAAATGCGGTTAACATTGAAAGAGACGCATTCAAATGCAGACACGGTATAATTATTTGAATCTTCACCCGCCCCTAAGAATGAAGAGTGTTTTTAGCCCAAAATCGGTATCTCTGCTTCAAAGACTAAACTGTGGATAGAGGAAAAACCCTGTCGCTGCTGTCAGCTGTGCAAACAGCATCAGCATCCCGTTTTCCCACCGAACCTGAACGCAGCAGTCGGCCGACACAGGGGACAGGACAACATGGCTGCTGCTGCGGGCCGATACTACGGAGAAGGCGGCAGAGCAACGAAAAGACAGAAAACTGAAGACGGAGGAATGACAACGGTGAGTGCTTTCTCCTCCCGTTGCTACCCGTCGGTCTGTTGGGATAAAATGTCAAACGTTTGTCTCGTACAGGAAGGATTTTAGTGTGAAATACAGCAGCGCTGATGGTGCAGCTAGCCAAAATGAAGGAGCTAACCAGCGCTAGCTCACCGAGGCGACCCAGTGGTCCGGTCGGGTTTACCTGGACCACGGGACCAGGGTTTAGAGAATGGATAGCACGTAGCTGTCACTGACACTTAACCTAGTTTTGAGTACACAAGAGGTGCATGTTTTAGTGCATTAGAAGTTGTGCTAAACAGCACAGAGACGCTGTTGTGTCTTCAGTCAGCGGTCCGTTAGAAACGCAGCGCTGATCTCAGGTCTGCTGGATGACTCCATGACTCCATGACTCGGGCTGTTGTTTGGTTATTCATCTCTGACAGTGCATGGCTTCATCCTCTGTCCACTAGTTGTGTGTTTTATGACCCCACAAGCATCATGCTGCGTGTCTGTTGTTCAGGAGAGCTACGATGATCCTCACAAACCGCTGCCCTCCCCGGTGGTGCACATCAGGGGCTTGGTGGACGGCATCATGGAGGCTGACCTGGTGGAGGCCCTGCAGGAGTTTGGGGCAATCAGGTAAGACCAGGGCACCGAGGACCACGTATCTCTAACAGTCATGTTCCTCATTTCAGTGATTTTCGTGCATCAGGTTTTATGAGAACATTCATAATAACGAATAAAGGCAAAAACAATAATTTGACTGGTGCTATTATTATTGAAATATGGCTTTGTACTAATTAACTTCTTGAATTATTTATTTACAGTTATGTGGTCATGATGCCCAAGAAGCGCCAGGCCCTGGTGGAGTATGAGGACATGAATGGCTCCTGCAATGCTGTTACATACGCAGCAGAGAACCAGGTTTACATTGCAGGCCACCCCGCTTTCATCAATTACTCCACGAGCCAAAAGATCTCCCGGCCTGGAGACTCAGATGACACCCGGAGCGTCAACAATGTGCTGCTGCTCACAATCATAAACCCCATCTATCCTATCACCACGGTAACGTGCACGCAGCGCCAACATCACGTTGTAGTTTTATGATGTCGTGAACCAGATGCATGACTGTAGGACACATTCAGACAGAGTAACTGTTGGATCTGCACAGTCATCACGGATTTTCAGGTTTAGATACAAGCAATTATTGAAACATGCATAGTGATAGAAAGACGTTATTTGTGTTTTCACGAGTGCTGCAGGACGACTGTTTCATTATTATCCATGAAATAGTCCCCATCCCATCTCTGCTGCATTTAATGTGGTACGACTCAAATGTTAAAGCAAACATTTGCATTTATCAGAGCCATTATGGGCTTTAAAACACACATTTTTTCTCTCCTCTCATTCTTTAGAATATTTACTTTCCATTACTGTGAATTTGCTGCCCCCCTGTAATGTCACAGGTTGTTCATATACATATATAGAAATGGTAAAAATCTTCTAATCTGATGTTTGGTCATTCTTTTACAGGTGATATGTGCAGTGATAGTATATTAACAATACTATCTAAACTTTCCTTTGTGACTCTACAGGATGTGCTCTACACCATTTGTAACAACTGTGGGCCAGTTCAGAGGATTGTGATCTTCAGAAAGAATGGCGTTCAGGCCATGGTCGAATATCCTTTTCACTAACTGCCTTTTTTATGGGTCTCTTTCTTTTCCACTTGACCAGATTGAGGTTGTACAACGTGCTTAATCACACTTGAGAACTCTGAAATCTTCAAATAGTCAGAGCTTACCTTAACTCACTGCTGTCACGTTTGATTCGGTCCAAAGTGCCCAGAGGGCTAAAGCCTCTCTGAACGGGGCAGACATCTATTCTGGCTGTTGCACTCTAAAGATTGAATATGCCAAGGTGAGTGTGTGGTAGTGTCTGATCTAAAACAATATTATCAGATCTTTCTTCGCAGATTTCGGGAACTAGTTTTCATCATTCTAATGCGATCCTTTCTGCAGCCTGCGCGCCTTAATGTCTTCAAGAACGACCAGGACACATGGGACTACACAAACCCAAACCTAAGTGGCCAAGGTAATATGCAGTCTCCAACCCTTCTTTCTCCTTTTTTCTTCCTCTTTTCCTCTCATGCCACTGTATGGGATGGTCAGGGTTCTCTGCCTCCGGGGGTCTTGCCTTTGATCACAGATGAATGCTTTCTTTCACCACGTAGCTCAACTCGGTGTTCAGAGGCAATATTCCTGTGATGCCTTCACAGTCTTTATGCATTTTCTCGCAACACAGCAGGCGCAAAGTAAGGGCATGAGGAGCAACCTCGAGGGCAGCCAACCTCAATTACAGGCACATGCATGTGAAAAGCCTCGTGCACCCATCACAGCAGCATATGCAGGCGCACCATTCCTCACATAGGTTCACATCCCCTGTAGAGCATGTCACAGCTGCACAGTTTCACATCCCTGCCGACTGGAATTCAGTAAACATAACAGAAAATATCATCCCCCCTAGTTTTTTTTCCCAAACATACTGGAGATTTTATCATAGCTTAAATTGGATATCGCACCACTCAGCTGAGTTGCTTTGTTGTCGACCACTAGACACACCTCTGGTTAAGGGTCCCATGACATGACTTCTGAGATGTTTGATGTACTTTACAATACACGTGACTTAACAGTAGGAGCCTGTTGGTTCGATGGTAGGTAACAGTACAGTCAGCCGCATAACCGCTGTCAGTACAGTGGTTGGCACCCAACTCGATTGTTGGCCATCGTTCTGTGTTAACACTACAGCTAGCAGAGATGCTAATTGCCGGCATTGCATGGTATCTCAGTCTGTGTTCACTGTTTGTTTTGTTTTTTTTTGTTTTTTTTTAATGCATAGTTTGCATACATCTCAAGGACATAATGAGTTCGTTAAAAAATGACAGTCGACACCAAAGAACGGAGTTTGATTTCACGCTGAACATTCGTATGTTTTGCTAATCGTCCCATCTTTGACCTGCGACCCGAGAAGATGCGGCATTTCATGGGACCTTTAATGTAAAACATACAACACAGATATATTGTTCCATCCACGTTGGTAAACTTTCAATTAATATTTGTTGTGTCAATAAATTTGTACTGTTCTGAGACTTGTGCAGAGGAGGTGGAACAGGTTTTTAACAGTAGCGGTTACAGTGTTAGCCATTTTTATGGACTTTTGCTGATGTAATGTGTAAATATATCAGTGTCACAACATTCATGAAGCCTCCACGGAGGAGATTCTTCTCTGCCACGTCTGACCAAAATACAGGATGCTGCCAAATGCAAGTAGGCGAACTGCTGGATAATCAGATTTCAGGGTAGCTGGAACGAGAACGTTAACTTCTCTCTCAAGCTAGGAGCTCGATGGAGAAGACGTTACCGCTTGTTCTGCTCTTTTAAACCTGTTCAGAGACGCATGTGTTACTGGAGTGTAGCCGTCTGTGGAAGAAGTGTTGACGCAGGTGTAGGTGTTTCTCTGGTACACGACCATGATCACAACATGTACATTGCAAGTTTCATACAAATGTTTGTCATCATGTCCTCTTAATCTTGATATTCTGTAGTTTGTGCTGCCTTACGACCCAGAGGTACTCCTTGTGTCCTCACTGTGCAAACGCATACAAGCTCACCTGAACCTCTAAGCAGACACAGCGGTTTCTACAGCTACAGCATAA